TCTTTAATTAACGAAATGGTTAGACCTACTAATATAATTTGAAAATTAACATGCATAATATCTATAAATAAAACTTTTAATCCAATAGTTAGTTTTGGAAAATATTAATTAAAAAATAAATTTTTAGATATACCTTTCATAAAATTTAGAAAAATAATCTACAAGACTTTTCTCTATATATATTTTTATCAGCAAAAAGTGAAATTATATTATGGGTGTATAAGAATACTCCAAACCCGCTGGCCGCTACCTACTTTTAATGCAATTCAAGCAAAAGAAAATCAAAACAAAATAATATAGTCACTCACATCTTCCTGCAAGCCCCATATGTCTTTCTCCCCAATATTTTCTGGATATCAATATACTTTTGAATTTCTGCAAAACAGTCATGAGGATGCATGCACCAATAATGAAACCAAACACACAGCTTCTCTCCTTGCCCTTTAGCCATTCAAAGGCCTTTGTTTGTATAAGCTCACAGCATATTCTCCAAACCTTTGTCCCCACAATGGAACACACAGTTAATCCTCCAAGCCCACAAGTACCAGACTTAGTTTTCCTGTATTTAATTCAAATTTAAAAATAATAACTTCTTAAGAATTGTATTGTGGAATGTATTGAATATGAAAGTGTACAAATTACTATCTATGTTTTAATTTATATTAAATTGTAATATTCAATAGCTACAAGTATACATATACATAGTAATTTAAGTAACAGGTATATATTTTCAGTACTTGAGTAAATATGAACTAGGTATATCTCAAAAACTTGGAACTGTAAATTTTCAACTCAAATACATGTATGAGAAAATATTTGACTCAGATCTGTACTTGCTTAGCGCTACTATACATTACAACCCCTATTTGTACAATACAAGTATCATCAACTCTTTGACTGGTCTTATCTCACATATCACCTTCACCTATGGTTAGGATTTGGAACTGTGAATTTCTTTCTTTAGGATTCTCTCCTTTCTAGGAGTTCCTTCATGTTTTGAAGTCGCTGTTAGTAAGGGAATCAGCACAATCACTAGCAAATTAAGAATCTGACAAAACAAATTAAAATGCAAATCTCTCTTTTCGTAAGAGAAAAGAAAAGAACCTTTCTTTCCTTGAACCAAAACCGGATTCCACATTTTGTCAATTGAAGTCATTAATTTTGGAAAAGGACCACTTCCATCCAAACCTGCTGATAACATTAAAATAAATAAATCTATGGTTAATATATAGCAACATGGAAAATTAAAATGTGTTAATTGCTGTTTTCCTCCCTAAAGGAAGCAAGTGAACAACTGGAGTAGGCATTTTAAACAGGTAATCCCTGTCTAGAAGAAGTTCTTGGACATGGAATGTGCTAGTTCCCCAAAGTAAATTATTCCCAAATAATTGGACATTACAGAGACTTCTTTTTGCGTCTGTTCTGTCTTCTGTTATTATTCAACATTATCACCGTGCAAAATTAATTTTTGGAATTAAAAGGTCAAGTGGGTTAGCAAATACAAGATTATAATTGCTGACCGAAAAAAGAAAGAAAAAAAGCTAAGTTGATTAAGAAAAAGAAAAGTACTGTACCTATGAACTGAGACCAAGCTACTTTGGAGTCAAACTCGAGCTCGACTTGTTTGAAGTAATTAAACTTGAAGTCGTTTGACGAACGAACTTAATTTGAGTTCCATTTGGCTTCGAATTAAAGTTTCTGTAAAAATTTTGTTTGAATAGAGTTATTGTACATTCAAATTTTGAATCATATGAAACTGCATAAATGATTATAAATAATTTACAAATTTATAAATTTATATTTTTAATTTATAAAAAATATTTAGTATAGTCTAAATTATATTAGACCATACTAAACTAACCTTTAGATGAGTATATGTGAATGGTGTGAATCAACCCCGGAACACAGTGATCATTTATTTCTCTCTTGCAACATCTCCTACAAACTATGGACAAGATGTCTAAATTGGTGGGGGATACAGTATGTACTCGAGAAAACTTGCATGGAGGTCTTCCGTCAACATAGCTGGCACAAAGGACCAAAAATCTTGAGAAAAAGCTGGAATATATTATGGTTCGCCTTAGCGTGGACAATTTGGTTGAGTAGAAATGAAACAGTTTTCCAACACAAGAAGCACGATGATGATAAACTGCTTCAACTAGTACAGATTCGATCATTTCATTGGGTTAGAATTCTATTGAATCTTGAAAACTTGTCATTAATGGAATGGATTTCTAACCAGTGAGATGCATGACAAATAGGAAATAGAGGTTTATGCTAGTGTTGGGTTCCTTGCTATTTAGTTTCTTTAGTTGTATATTTTTGGATACACATGTTGATGTTTTATGGGTTTGAGTACCCCTTGTACTCAGTTAATATTATGAT